CTTGATAAAAATGGCTAAGAATGACTTAATGAACAAATGCATTGGACTCAGTATGGAAGAAAAATGCAGTCTGAACACAACAGTGAGGACAGTCAAACAGCATGGAGGTGAGAATGAGCACAGCATGGTTCTGTGTCAAGGAAACAAGCTAAGTGGAGCAAAGTCAGTGAAGATCTTGAAGGAAGATTTGTTGATAGGGAGCCAAGTTGGATTCACCAACTAGCTGGTGACTGTGACAAGTTATTTCACAAATGTTACAGTAAAGTTCCTGCTGATTACCCTCAGATGGCTCTTACTGCTGCTTCCTAGGTATCTTTTTCATTTCTTTTTATCAAATGTCACAGGATGGCTATCTAAAACTTAAAACCACCATACTCATTTTTTTTTTTTTCCACAATTTAGCTTATGTGTTCACTTTATGGAGAAGATGACCCTTACCATGTAAAGGGCCCAAACTTCTTACTTCTACATTTATTTTCCCTCTTTGCTCATCTTTTGTTCATTCTCTCCTGTTCCTAGAGACAGAGATGTTCCTTCTTTCTAAGATTAACTTTTTCACTTTCTTTATAAAGCCAGCTTTGATCCTTTATGTTGGAAATTGTCTCCCCCATCTCTAAACATTCAAAGATTTTGTTCATACTTCTTTTAGGGTATTATCGTAGTCTACTAAGTATTATAGTTATTTGTGAAAATAAACCACTGTACTGTAAGCCTCTTGAGAGAAGAGACTATGTCTTGTGTGGCACTGTGCAGTTTTACAGCAGTTAAATAAGTAGCTTGATTGATGGGTGGAGGTATATCATGGGGACCCCTAGAAGCTAGCAAAGAGTGTTTACATTTGATACAATAGGAAATAGGTTGTTTTTAGTATAAATGTTTTTGGCCAGGTGCAGTGGCTTACGCCTGTAATCCCAGCATTTTGGGAGACTGAGGTGAGTGGATCACTTTAGCACAGAGATTGAGACCAGCCTGGGCAACATGGCGAAACTCTATCTCTACAAAAATACAAAAATTAGCTGGGTGTAGTGGCATATGCCTGTAGTCCCTGCTGCTCCAGAGGCTAAGGTAGGAGGATCACCTTAGACCAGGGAGTTTGAGGCTGCAGCGAGCCATGATTGTGCCACTGCACTCCACCGTGGTTGACAGAGTCAGACTCTTGTCTCTTAAAAATAAAAAAAATGATGAGGGTGGGATTGGAGAAGGGACAAACATGAGAAATGTATTTTGAGAATACAAATAGAATTTTGTGACTGACTTAGAAGGGATAAAACTGATAGTAGAAAACATTTTTAACTAGATAAATATATACTTACTCCCTTTCTATAAACACAGTTTTATAGAATACAGCCTACCCTTTTAATGTTTCTCAATTTTTGCTTTATTATAATAAACTCTCAGTAAACAGCAAATACATATTACCAGTGTCTGGCTCTGCACTAGGGTTCTGACAGTGGATAGCTCACTAAGTCTAAAAATGGACACAGACATGAAATAAACATTTATAATATGGTGTAATCATGACGATAGAGGTGTTGGCACAGTGCCGTGGGTGTGCCTGTGCACTTGTCAAGAGGTGGGTAGAGCTTTATCACAGAGCATAGAGTTAAGTGAGTTAAATATCAGGAAACTAGGAATTCTAAAATGAATTTTGGGCATTTTTATTTTGTTCTTTATTTGGCAAATGATGTATACTGTTTATTGGCATTTTCCCCCTTGGTCTTTGCATTGTTAAGATAGCACATTTTGAACTTTAAAACAAATTGACTTAGAAACCAGAATTAAGTGAAATAACCTGCAATATATTGTCTAATATACTATTAAAAACATGTACAGGCATATAATGCAAATTGGTCACATTATATAAAATATCTCTGTAATGTAAAATATTCATCCAAAAGAAAAAGGATGGTGGAAGGATGTCACAATTTTTTAAAAAATTAGGATGACTTTAGAATTATAGATCTATTCTTATCAAAATTTTTTAAAATTTTAAAATATAGACAATTAGGAAAAATGCAGACAAAATGAAACAAATTTTTAATTGTTCTTCCGTAATTCTGCCATGCAGAGATAACGGTTAGTTTTGATACATTTTCTTTCCCTTTTTTTGCGTACCTGTTTCTTACATTGTTGAAATTATACAAAATACACAATTTTATCATGCTTTTTTCCCCCAACTTAACATCATACCTAAAGTCTTTCACATCTTAAAACTTTTTATAACAACTTTAATATGTACAAAATATTGCAGAATATAGACATACTATAGAATGAAAATTATATATTTGAACATCTATTATGTATCTATTATTAGTCATGGTGCTAAGTATCTTATGCATGTTATATCTAACCCCTAGAGCTACCCTGTTAGGTGTGTGGCATTATTTCCACTTTATGGATAAGGAACTGACACAGAGAGGTTAAATAACTTGCCCATGGACATATAAATAATATAAAATACTTAGGTTTTTCTATTGCATTGTGATGCTTCCAATTTAAATAATTATTCTTCTATTGTTGAATATTTAGATTGTCCCTATTTTTGCCATTATATGACTTAATTAACATATTTTGTCATAAAGCAAATTATTTTCTGCCAACCCAGCTTTTAAGTAACATTTTTATTGTCTTTTTTTTTTTTTTAAATGAGATGGAGTCTTGCTGTGTCGCCCAGGCTGGAGTGCAATGGCGCAATCTCAGCTAATGGCAACCTCCTCCTCCCGGGTTCAAGCCATTCTCCTTCCTCAGCCTCCCAAGTAGCTGGGACTACAGGCGTGCACCACCATGCCCGGATAATTTTGTATTTTTAGTAGAGACGGGGTTTCACCATGTTGACCAGGCTGGTCTTGAACTCGTGACCTCAAGTGATCCGCTTGCCTCGACCTCTGAAAGTGCTGGGATTACAGGTGTGAGCCACCACGCCTGGCCTAATGCAGTGATAGCAGTAGTGAATATTCTCGTTCATATTTCTAACCACTGAATTTTCTGAGGCTTTGGAAAGTCAATTTTTTTTTCTCCTGCAGAATTGACACGTCTCACCAGAGTGTCATCAGAAAGACGCTTCTGATGAAGTCACTAAGTGAAGCATTCTTAGTTAATTTACAAAGCATTTTAAAGACTAAATTAACTTGTCTTTGCTAAGTGGTGGTTTTTTATTGTTGCTTTTGTATTCAACTTTATGCCGGTTGGAATCTCACTTAATTAGATAGACCTAGTAAACTCTTGGCCCAGTTTCCAAACACTATTGTACAAAAGTGATATATTAATAAATGAACATAGCATACCTATGGAATAGTTCTAATTGGAAGAATTGAAGTGGTTGTTACATTTTTCTGCATTATAGTTGACAACTTATGGCATAGAATTAGGAGTATTTTTTTTATCAGTGACTGATTCTTATCTTGAAAATGTAAAGGCTAAAAATTAGCTCCAATTATTCATTATGTGTAACTTCACTCACTTGATACTTTCCACAAGAAGGAAAGATGCAGATGATTGATGACCAGATAAGGATCATGAGGCATAATGAGTGCCCTCTTAAGGTGTCAAGGCTTAACTTATGCTATAGACTAATGTATGTTTTCTGTAAGTATTGTAGTAATATTGCATCTAAGAAAGTTGATCATATGACAGCTTTTTGAACAATGATTAAAGCAAAAGGAAAGAAATGGACATCAAGAGGTTGCGAAGGCTGAAAGGCCTCAAAATACTTATCTCCAAGAAGTTAAGTGTTGACACAGGCATCCACTTCTGTAATTTCTAACACTGGAAATAACTGTTTAATTTAAAAGTAAAGGCTGCATTTGGCATTTTAACCTGGCCCATCCAAGTATCTCATAGCAACAGTTGTGATTTGAAGTGAAAAAAGAAATTAATCAGCCACAGCAAAATAGCATGTTGGACTAAATTCTTGTCTTGTTAGCTTTTTTTGTATCAAAATTAACTTATTTTTAATGTATATTGTTTGCAGAATTGAATTTGAGTTGAACCATTTATGATAACAGAAGTCATTATATTCATCATTCATTATATATAGCTGGCCATGTAGTCTTGGCAAGAAAAATAGAAAATACCTAGAAAATAAAATGCTCAGCTGGGCGCAGTGGCTCACGCCTGTAATCCCAGCACTTTGGGAGTTCCAGGCAGCAGATCACTTAAGGTCAGGAGTTCAAGACCAGCCTGGCCAACATGGTGAAACCTCGACTGTACTAAAAATACAAAAATTAGCTGGGTGTGGTGGTGGGCGCCTGTAATCCCAGCTACTTGGGAGGCTGAGGCAGGAGAATGTGAGCTGAGATTACACCACTGTATTCCAGCCTGGGCGATAGAGTGAGACTCAGTCTCAAAAAAGAAAAGAAAAGAAAAGAAAATGCTCTGCTTTTTTAAAATTCAATAATGGCTATTTTGTGCTCAAGCTGGATATGCTTAGATAAAAGAGACTATAACTTTCACTTCAGTTTGTAAGTTTTGGGGAGGGGGTTGAGAAATTTTTTACCATCAGGCCAACTTTTCAGTATTGAAGCTTTCTGATCTCAGTAAATAATTTATGTTTTAAACAATACTATTTTAGAAATTTGGAAATTTCTTCTCCAAAATTACGTGTACATACTTATATATAACTACTTGTTCTAAATTGGATCATCATAACATAGAACAAATGGAATAATTATTGTAAGTTTAAAATATACACAGCTTTGATGCAGTTAAATTAGGCCTTATCTAAAGATTAACTTGTTAAAGTATGCCAATACTTTATCTAATTGTTCATTTAAAAACTAATTTATAGCTGTATATTTCCTTATTTCTCCGAGACAAGTGAGCATAAAAGTGATTTCAGTTTCATCCTAATCGATAGTGTAGTGTGGGTTCCTTGTGCTAGAAGTTAAGGATCTTGCTGAAACAGTACTTTAATTTTTAAATAGTTAGTACATAGTCTGTGACAGTGAGAGGCTCATCAGATTTTGTAAAAAATAAATTTCTTTTTTTGTGTGTGTTTACAGGAAACCTGTCCAGTTTAAGTCGTCTTGGTCTGAGATATAACAGACTGTCAGCAATACCCAGATCATTATCAAAATGCAGTGCACTTGAAGAATTAAATTTAGAGAACAATAACATTTCTACTTTACCAGAGGTAAGAAGTGGATTAGAGAAAACAAGATTTGAAGTGAGTCTGCAAGATAATTCAAGGAAAGCTAGTAAATCTTTATAGCAGGGTAAATAATTTGGTGATTGAGATTGTTTAAATAATGAGTATGCTGTGGATGTACCACCACTGCTAAAGTAACTCCAAACAAGAAAGAATGGGTATATGAACCTATTAAGTTTTTATTTTTTTTAATGCAAAGAAAAAGGGAAAAACTAGGAGAAAATAAGTGTGCTGTATTCTACTTTAGCACCATGTAAATCTCATTTCATTTTGGGAACTGAGAGTAAAGGTATTAAGGAAAAGCTATATGGCTGGTTTTAAAATTCAACTACCCTATCCAGTTCAGTTATAAAAAGAAAGATGATAAGTGATACAGAATGCACTGTCTATCATCAAAATTAATATTAGCAGCAATTCTCCTGTGACTCAAATTATTACCTTGTTTATGCAATAATATTAAGGCCTATTTAGTATAAAACAATTGCCAGAATCTTTTTTTAAAACACATTTTTAGGTTTTGTTGATTCTATTAGAAAAGTATTTTCACTTATTTTGCTTAGGGATTAATTGGGTAAGATATAATACTTTTTTTTTTTTTTTTTTTGAGGCAGAGTTTAGCTCCCGTTGCCCAGGCTGGAGTGCAATGGCGCGATCTCGGCTCAGCTGCAACCTCTGCCTCCCAGGTTCAAGTGATTCTCCTGCCTCAGCCTCCCAAGTAATTGGGATAAAAGGCACTACCACACCAGGCTAATTTTGTATTTTTAGTAGAGATGGGGGTTTCACCATGTTGGCCAGGCTGATCTCGAGCTCTTGACCTCAAGTGGTCTACCTGCCTCGGCCTCCCAAAGTGCTGAGATTACAGGCGTAAGCCACCGTGGCCAGCCAATGTAATACTCTTCTTTTAAAGTTGTCTTTATCAATATTATTATTAGTCTTTTACTATTCACTTTCCTTATTTTCCTACCTATTTTAGCATGTCAACAATGGATGTTTGCTTATAGTTGTTCAAGCATATCTTACTGTAGTAATGTAACAGAAGAATTGTGGACTTACTGATTGATTGAGCTTTGCAAAGTCTTTTTTTTGTAACAAAAAATGTCTTACGTAAGTGCTGCTACTATGTTTTGACTTGGTAGTTTTTCTGAGTGTGTGTGTGTAATCGAATTAAGAACAAAGATTCTTTAAGGCCAGGCGCTGTAGCTAATACTTGTAATCCCAGCACTTTGGGAGGCCGAGGCAGGTGGATCACTTGAGGTTAGGAGCTCAAGACCAGCCTGGCCAACTTGGCAAAACCCTGTCTCCATTAAAAATACAAAAAATTAACTGGATGAGGTGGCGGGCACCTGTAATCCCAGCTACTCAGAAGGCTGAGGTAGGAGAATGACTTGAACCCAGGAGGCAGAGATTGCAGTGAGCTGAGGTCATGCCACTGCACTCCAGCCTGGGCAACAGAGGGAGACTTTGTCTCAAAAAAAAAAAAAAAGTGAAAAAATTTAAATTAATACATATCCAGTCTTATTGTCAGTGAAGTGAAACTAATAATTACTGGGTACCTGTTAGGAAATACAGATTTTCCTGGGAGCTTGTTAGAAATGTGGACTCTTGGGCCCCACTCCCAGTCCCACTGAATATGGGAAAGTATGAAATCTTAATTTAAAAGTAATCAGTGTGCTTTGGAAGCAGCATAGTCTCAATGCAAATGTGAAATTATCTGCATTTATAGTGAGGAAAACAATAAAATCCATTAGACAGCACTTATAAGATACCCAAGCTGGGTTAGGCAAGAAATCATGAAAGTGGTTTTCAATAAGGGCATATTAAATAGCTGAAATCAGAGCTGCTAAAATGACTATTTTGTCATTTGAAGACTGTCTGAAAATGGACTTATTTTAATGTAGATGTCTACATATAAGTAAAAGGAACTTAATAATTTGAACCACATAGTCCCAAGGCATGAGTCTATGTACTCTACATGTACTATCTTGTTTAATCTTTGTCATAAACCTACTAGTTATTGGAGTATCCTCATCAAGCAGCAAAATAAGGCTTAAGAGAAGTTATATTTTTGGCCGAATTTGTTACCTCAGATATTTTTCTGGAAGTATGGTAAGAGGTGTATTGATTATCTAATTAATTCACCAAAGTTGACAAAACTTAGTAGAAGGTATAAAATAGGAGCCTAGATGTGTCTGATTCTAACCAAAAAAAAAGATAAGCAACCCCTGTTTCACAATGTGACTAAGAAATGAGAGCTCGAAGAGCTGCCTTCTTGTTGCCCCTTCTTAAATATATTCAATATTAACATTTTATCATATGAGTCAATTCAATAAAGTAAGTCAGTTGTAAGAATAAAAAGAATCACATTTTTTGCCATGAGGCTCAGTAAAACTCCTTTATTTTCAATTGAGTAGCCCGTAGAGATTTTTCGTGAATCGACTGCCATGCAGTTTTCTGGCCACAGTTTTACCTCTGTTGTTCCTTTTGTTTGTGTACAACAATACACAAATTTTAAGGGTAGCTTCTTAAGATACAGTATAAAGAAACAAGTTTCAGTTCTCTGTATAGGTATATCCTCAATTATATAGTTACTTCATTCCTTCAGATGGCTTTGCCAATTACACTGTCACCTCAAGTACTAAGTTTTCAATTTGCTGATGGTGGACAGCTGAAGTTTGAACATTGTTTAAAAAACATACATACCTCACACAGTGCTTGCTTCTCCCTGCTTTTGCTTTTACTTTGAATCTAGAGTGTTTCTTCTATTTCTCTGAGTATTTTAAAATGTTTTCATCCTTCAAGATCTAGCTGTCAACTTTCATCCTATTTTTCCAGTTATTCCAGTATTCCTTGCTTTGAATTTAAATAGAGAAAGGATTTAAAATTTAAGCACTTACTCCCTGCTAGGTATTGTAAAGTTATTTATGTATTTGATCGCTTTTAGTCTTCCCTATGACCCATAAAATATTGTTATTTAAATAATGATACACTAGGTTCAGAAAAATAACTTGCCAAAGTCACAAGCTATTTAAAGATAGAGTCAAGATTCAAAACAATTTATAGCCTTTACTAGTATTTCTCAGATGTTAATGAGCATGCAGATCACCTGGGAATCTTGTTAAGCTGCATATTATGATTCAGTGGCAGTGGGGCCCAAGAGTCTGCATTTCTCACAAGCCCCCAGGGGATGCTGATACTGCTTTTCCTTGGCCCAGACTGAATAGCAAGAGCCTATTCTATGTAATTGATTATTGATTATATACAGTCATATATTATTTTCTAATTATTTCTTATCTATGTACTTCTTAACTGCAGAGATTCTTTGGTAATACCTGAATATTTAATACTTTGGTTAAATGGTGGGAGTCTAAAGTAGGGGAAGATGGGGTTATGTGCTAAGTAAATACTTGTTTAATGGGTACATATATGCCCTCAGAAATTTTACCATATAGAAAAGCGGTGTATTATACAGTATCAGGGAGCATAATTATCTCCTGAATTTAATGTTCCCTAAAAGGAATCATTATGTTAATCTCAATAATTTAGAGATAGGTATATAACTTAAGACTAGGTAGGATTTGTCACACAGCCAGTGGCAGAGGCAGGACTCAGACCTGGAACTGTCTGACACTAAAGTTTCTGCAATGTAGAAATTTCAAATTAGTCACCCATGAGGCACCTCTCCACACACAGACATGTTTTCCTTATTCCATACAGTGTTTTAAATAAATTGAAGCCAAAGAATAAAAATTGGAAAAATGTTCTGTTTCCTCCTATAAAATCTGGAAGTCTACATTGGTTCCACATTTCTGCAAGGTACCAATCTGCTAGAGCTATGTAGTGACTGTCCCTGTAAAGAGGTGTCACAGACTGCCCTAACCAGTCTTTGTCATTTGTCACCCCCAAAGCCCTTTGAGGCATTTGTGTTGAGACTGCTGTTCTATACAAAATGAGTCTCATCACAGTTCTAATTCTTATGTTTATTTCATTTTTTTTTTTTTTTTTTACAGAGTCTTTTATCAAGTCTTGTGAAACTGAATAGTTTGACCTTAGCTAGGAATTGCTTCCAGTTATATCCAGTGGGTGGTCCATCTCAGTTTTCTACCATCTATTCCCTCAACATGGAACACAATCGAATCAATAAAATTCCATTTGGAATTTTCTCCAGAGCAAAAGTATTAAGTAAGCTGAATATGAAGGTAAGCATATATTTGTTTATTAGGGGAAGGAATTGCTTTAACTGGTACTTCCACTAATATTTATGTTTTTTCTAATTGTGTGGGGAGTGGGTACTTGTACCTTGCTGATGGGTCTAAACTGATAATAAGACATTTCAGGGTACTTTGTATCAGATAACAAATATCTTAGAACTGTGCATACCCTTAGGAATTTGTCCTAAAGAAATAATCATTGTCCAGCTCAGTGGCTGATGCACCTGTAATCCCAGTGCTTTGGAAGGCTAAGGTGGGAGGATCCCTGGAGGCTAGGCGTTCAAGACCAGCTTGGGCAATATAGTGAGACCTTGTCTCGCAAAAAAATTTTTAAAAATTAGCTGGCCTGTGGTACCAGCTACATGGAAGGCTGGGGCAGGAGGATTGCTTGAGCCTGGGAGTTCAAGGCTGCAGTGAGTTATGGTGGCACCACTGCACTCCAGCCTGGTGAAGAAAGCAAGAACCTGTTCCCTATCCCCCACAAAATAGGAAATATGAATATCTGTAAAAGTATAGTTGTAGGGATATGTATTGCAGAGCCATCTATTTCATAGGTACCAACTTATTAATAGAGATTTAATTTTGTTAAGTAATTTGTCTTTAGTGGAATACTGTGGAGCCATTAAAAATGATATTTTGGTCTAAAAGAACACTACATACTAGTTGAAATATTCTCATTTTATCAAGTGGAAGAAAGTTAAAGCATGTAAAAAATCTTTTCCCACCCAGAGTTTTTGAAAGCTGTTTTTAATATGCTTAATTATATATTAAAGATCTTTATATTTATACATATAGCTGGTTTTTGCCAAAATGTTTAGAGATCAGAATTATTTATAGGTGAACGTTAGTTTCCTTTTGCTTACAGTGATCGAGTTTCACTTTTGTAATGCAATTTATTGCAAAAGGAGAAAACAAATGGCAAATTACCAAGTTCAGTGATTTAATTTGTACTGGACAAACTTTAGGCCCAAAGAAGATAACTGAATTGACCACATAGCTAATAGTATTCTTCCTGTCATGATGAACCGTTTGAACATAGTTGTGGTTCTTTAAACTATAATCTTAAATGTACAATTTTTAAATTACATCCACACTTGCTCATAAATATGGTATGTATCTTTTATGATGATTCTTTGGAAGTATATAATAAGTAAACTAACGGAAATTCAAGATACTCTTACAGTTTTAACAATTGTAAAATTTCTTGTTAATCAGTCTGGTTATATGAGATTTAGCAGTGGTAATGGTGTTGATTCTGAACATTCATTTTGTAGTAATAGGCTTAAAACACAGTAGTTCAGGGGTCCATTAGTTTATGCATTTGCATGTAAGTACCAGTAGTAAATTTTTAAAAATGAAAATACCTTAATAAATGATACTATAAGTGTCAGTAGTTTAGGCATACATAGGTAATAAGCTTAAATATTAAATAGATAACAAGTTTAAATATTACAATAAAAGAAAAAGTTGGTTTTCAAAAGAATGTTTGCTACTTGGGATTTCTTTTGTGGGTCATTTTGTGTGAAATGAGACAATCCATGTGCAATGCAGCTAATTTTAAAGATACAGATTGACATAAAGGATATAAAATAATACTGCCACTGAGGTAGCATCACTGTTAACATACTGGCATATATCGTTGGTATTGAGCTGGATGGGGTGTTGATTATCCTCTCCCAGGACCAATACCCCTAACACATAACAATGTGGTACAAGACATTATTGATGAAAGTGTACTTTATAAGTGAATTAAAGTGGCATACTTTTTTTCTGTGAACAGCCGTGTCTAATTTTTAAACCAAATTAAGACCATATTTACTGTTTCCTCTGTTTCAGCAATGAATATATTTTACTATTTTTTTCTTATGGATTTTTAAAGTGAAATGGTAAATACCTGATTCGTGTTTTAATTATTTAATTTGTTGTCTTTTTAAGACTATTTTCCTCCCCTACTTTACTGCTTAGCACCTCAAGAATTCCTGAGTTCATTCTGGTTTCCTCATGGGATGTGATTAGATGTGTCTTATTCTATTGTTTTCATATCTTTATTTGAGCATTTATATTTTATTCAGTGATTTCTACATATTGTGAAATGGTAAAAACATATTTATAGGATCTTTGAAATCTCCAGTGTTTCTCTGTATAATGTATTTTTCTATTTCCATTACAATCACATAAGGAACAAACTTCCAGTTTAACTCCCAAATAAAATCCTCATTACTGTATAAAAAACTTTGGAGGCTTAGAGTTTTCTGTTGCTGATTTTTTTTTCTTTCTATATTTAAATATCAAAAAGGAGAGTAAGATTTTGTTTAGTTAAGAATTCTCTTTCTGAAGCAACAAGTGTATATGGAACTTTGTTTTTGTGGTTCTACCTTGGATGCTTCTTTTTGTCTTTGCCAGGACAATCAATTAACATCACTTCCCTTGGATTTTGGAACTTGGACCAGTATGGTAGAATTGAATTTAGCCACTAATCAGCTCACAAAGATCCCTGAGGATGTGTCTGGTCTCGTTTCTCTTGAGGTTAGTATAAATGAGCACCTCAGAACCTTCCATACTTATCTCATTTAAAAATTTCAAATTGAAATAAGCAATTTCTGTTTGGGTGAAGATTATAATTAGAAATGTTAGAACTCACTTAAACATACAACCCTCATAGGATAACGAAGTGTTGACTTAAGTAGTCTAGATTCAGTCCTTTTGAATTTCTCTTGCCTACTAAAAGTTGGTATGTTTGAGTGCCATAAAGTATTAATATCTCTAAAAGAAAAGTTCTGTAAAAGCATCTTTTAGAACAATTTTTTTCTTTAGTCTGTTTAAAAACTACACTATTGTCTACCAAAATAATTATCGATTCTCAGACTGTCATTTAGAATGCTTTATCATACTTTTTCATCCTAATTATCCACCTGCTATTTTATTTACTCATTGATTATTGTCTTTGTTGTAAATCTGGTATGCCGATTTCTAGCCCTCTAAGCTTAGTCCTATTGTTTTCTGTATCTAGAATGCCCTCTTGTCATCCCCTTTTTTCTTTTAGTATGTTTTTCCATAATTAAAGATCCATTTTATTTTCACCTCTTCAGTTAAGGATGATTTCTCCTGCTTCTGAGTTCCTAGAGTTTTCATCCCTTGGTGAAAACACTTAGTAAATATATTGTTTTTTAAAATTTCCTTCATATCCATGTTTTTTAAAGATCTAATTTTTAAATTATTTAATAAGGTGAAATAGTGTGGTTTAATGGCTAAAAACATGGGCTTTGAAGTCAAACAAAGCTGAGTGTAATTATCTCTGTATATTTATGTACTTAACTTGCCTAAGCTTCAGTTTCTTAAGCTGTGAAATGGGGATAATAAGAGTATTTATCTTGTAGAGCTGTAATTAGGATTAAATGCAATAATGCACATAATACATTTAGTGCAGTGCCTTGCAAATAGTAAAGTCACATGGTGACTGCTGTTATTATTTTCTCGGACTTATTGTATGTATTTATTATGGGTGATATAACATTAGGGAAAATAAATGAACATAAAAACTTACCCAGAACCTTAGGCATCTGTTTTACCTATTGCTCTTTCTCCCAACCCAGTATTGTCTCCTTCCTTTCTGCTAGTTTGTAACTTTATCGGAACAAAGGCTATCTTCCTCTGCCATTTTTCCCCTCTTCAGTATCTTCCAGGATGCTTTCAATATAATAAGTATACCACAGATAATAAATACAGTGGATTGATATAGCAAGTTTAGAAGTTAGTTTTTACCATCCTTTAGTAATGGTTTGTAAGGGTTTTGAATAAATAGTTTCCTATTAGATAAACATTTGTAACTATTCAGTAATTTTTTTGAAATGTAGTTAAAATTAAATTGCTTCTTTTGTTTTCATTAGTTTTGATGTAATCAGGTAAAATCTCTTTTCTAATAACTATGGTGATTTTTTTAGAAAAGTAAGTTAAATATTTTATATGTTATATAATTGAACATTACCCTTAATATTCACTGTTTGGAACATAAGCATTGCTTAATAGATTTTAAGCCACACAATGATAGTATATAATTTCATTTCATGATTTGCTAAAAATTATCAATAATTTCTCATTAGGTTCTTATCTTATCAAACAATCTTCTAAAGAAGCTTCCCCATGGTCTTGGAAACCTTAGGAAGTTAAGAGAGTTAGATCTGGAAGAGAACAAATTGGAATCCTTGCCAAATGAAATTGCATATCTTAAGGATTTACAGGTAAACATTATCCTAGTGGTTTTGTAGTTATATAAAGTTTTTGGAATCCATTCTAAATTGCACATTTTTCTTAAGATTTTGATGTAATTCTTGGATCAGATAGACTTTCCTATTCTAGTATTAGGGCTGAGTTTTGTGTTCATATAACCTGGCTTTGTTTTCCTAACAAATGATATTTTGTGAAAGAAAAATATGTAATGTAAGTGATTCTCATTCTATCCAATCTAGTTTCCCTGTTAATTAATTTTATTGTTTAGACATATTATTTTAATTTACATTAAATGTAGGAAATATATTTGTAACTGTCTTTTATTTTGTTAATCTTCTAGAAATTAGTCTTGACAAACAACCAGTTGACCACTCTTCCCAGAGGCATTGGTCACCTTACTAATCTCACACATCTGGGTCTTGGAGAGAACCTACTTACTCACCTTCCTGAAGAAATTGGTATGAACCCTATGAATGCTTGACTCTGTACTAATAATTTGCTCTTGTGCATTCAAGCAGTATATCAGATAAATATGACAAATCTATTGTTTTTTAAACTGAGGTTATATCAGGCTTAAGATTTTTTTTTTAATAGAGCACTGATGGTTGATTGTTGATTGGTTTTGGTTAGGATTCCTAAAGGCTGTTAGGATTGGTTTTAAGATTAATACTGTATTTGAGAATGTTTTGGAATACTTACATTTCCAGTAGGTTTTATGTATAACCTCAATTTAGAAGTTATTTTATATTCCTTCTAAATTTAAAAATTACACAGGGTTGAATTAAATTAGTAATGTTTTATGCCAAAAGAACATTTCTTTATGAGATTTTAGAATTGATATTAATATTTAACCAATATTAACATTTGGGAATACTTAACATTTTCCAAGTGTTTTCATTTCCATTATTTTATGTAATATACATGACCACCTGGAATTTCAGACAGTGCAAGTTGTAATCTTGCTTTATAAAGAGAATTACTTGATTAAGGTCACATGGTAATTAAATGTTAGCTTTTAAATTAGTAATTCTATGCGTTATGTTCTTCCATCTGTAGTGCACCGTCCCACAGGAACTATAGGCTAGTAAACACCACGTGTTCTCACTCATAGGTGGGAATTGAACAATGAGAACACTTGGAAACAGGGTGGGGAGCATCACACACTGAGGCCTGTCGTGGGGTGGGGGGAGGGGAGAGGGATAGCATTAGGAGATATACCTAATGTAAATGTTGAGTTAATGGGTGCAGCATACCAGCATGGCACATGTATACATATGTAACAAACCTGCACGTTGTGTACATGTACCCCAGAACTTAAAGTATAATAAAAAAAAAATGGTTTTGGAGATGGTTGACAATTCAAAATCTAGCGCTGCTGCTTATTGGCTTTGTGACTTTAGATAAGGTATGTAAACTCCCTAAGCCTCAAGTTTCTTACCTGTAAAATGATGATAATAGTAAGTTCTCATAGGGTTGTTCTGAAGCTTAAATATCTTACATGTAAACACATTGATTACATACTAGTTATTATTTCTGTTAGTTTTCTAATAAATATCACTGTCAAATATTCTGAATTTTGAAATTTAAAAATTGGAAACACATGAGGCAAATTTACACATATATTTCTAGTATATATATTCACCTGATCTCATTTAATTGCTTGAGACATTTTCCTAGAGAATACAAGTATCCTAAGATAGTCTAAGAAAAAAATTTTAAAGGTCTCATAAATCGAGTTTTGGCTTACTGCCATACATGTGATAACTCTCAGTGAAAGCTTCATATTAAGTAATAAAACTTTTGCACATAAGAAATCTATTAATTTGAGAAAATGTTACATGTACAACAGAAAAGTGGTTATAGACATTGAATATATAATAAGCTCACTTTTGGAGTTTAAAAATATATATAAGTAAGTATTATATATGTGCCAAACTATCCCAAACAGAATCTCTGGAGATGGGGCATATGTATTTTCAAAATACAAAGCTCTCCAAGCTTGAAGACCTACCATAAAGGAAGGGGTTCTAATTTATTTAGTTTGTATGGAGTGTGAGCTGGACATCAGGAGTTTAAAAAGTCTTCCAAGTTGATTTGAATATGCAGCAAAATTTGAGATCCATGGTTGTAGAGTTTTAAAGCTAAGAAAGGAGAATTAAAGGAAATGTGTGTTCAGTATATGTAATGACCAGCATAGCATCATGCCCGGTTGAACTTTTAAAATAGCAACTAATTTTTAAAAAAATAATTGATTTGATTTTTTTTTTTAACAGGTACACTGGAGAACCTAGAAGAACTGTATTTGAATGACAACCCCAACCTGCATAGCCTTCCCTTTGAGCTGGCACTCTGCAGCAAGCTTTCAATCATGAGTATTGAGAACTGTCCACTCAGTCACCTTCCACCTCAGATTGTTGCTGGGGGGCCTTCTTTCATCATTCAGTTCTTAAAGATGCAGGGTCCGTATCGTGCCATGGTCTGATACAAATCTGCTGGTCCCACACACTGTTCAAAAATAGACTGCCATTAATGTTTCTTATCTATATCTGTATCTATTTATGTAGATATTGGTATATGGCAGATTTATAAAAATTGCATTATGTGTTTATGCTAATAGAGGAATCATAGCCATTTAGAATTTTTTTTAAATTCTGTACAAAAGGCTTATATAAGTTTTCTTTGCTGAATATGATGGATGTTTTTCTGTTGTGTATTCTGATATGCCAGTTTGCTTAAAACATTTGCCAACAAATTATGAAGTTATTAAATTTAAGGGACAGAGGTAGTATAGTTAGATATACTTTCTCTTAGGAAAAATAATGGGCAAACAATTTTGTTGCAACTTTTCATATATATTTTCCCCTTACCAATTGTTGTATCTTTATAGTATTGTAGGCCCTGAAAGTAGAATTTTTCTTTAACTTATTTTGAGATTTGAGATTTAAATTTTATGTATTGTTTACAGTCAGAGTAAATCACTGGATTTTTTGTTTGTTTGTTTTGATTTGCTCTGTTTTATTCAGTCAAATCTAGAGTTTGAATCCTCTGCTAAAGAATTTGCATCAGCTGGTTTAAATAGTGAAAGGTATTTGCTTGTTAAAAAAAAAAAAAACCAAAAACTGGCAAAGTGAAAAGTTACAGTCGAAAATCTAGAATTTCTTTAATTATGCTTCTCTGACGAGTTGTGAAGCGAAATACCTGAAGTGAATCTTTGGGTAGGAGAAGGATATTGAGACCTTTTCTAGTATGAATATTTTTTAAGTTTGGGGGAAGAGAAACTTGTAGTGAAAAGGAGTTTTTTCATTCCTGAAAGTTGCAGATCCACAAAAACAGGATAATTTGGCAAATAAATTACATATAAACACACACAATCTATATATGTATATACAATGCTATATAGATATGTATTTATTATATCATAAACTACAGTAGGTAACTTTAAGGATTTCTTCCTATCCTTGTACAATGACATGAATGTCTTTCTTTGAAAACTGCAATATATGTATGTTTCAAGGTTATTTAACAGTGTACTATGGTTTTATATCTTGACTTGCCTTGTACATCTTTCAATTCTGGAATATCTGTGTCTAAGCACAATATCTTCACACTGTGCTGTATTGCTGCTGAACTAAATGCACTTTTCCCCACATGTGGGGCACTGGCTTCAAACAATTCAGTTCAGTATCATTACTTTTAATCTCATCTTTCCTTTCTTGGTATTTGTTAATACAGTTATGGAAAAGAGGCACATTGCATAGAAGCCATTGGGGAGTTCAGTGGAAGTTCTGTAAGATGTGCATGTACTATTTGATATATTTTCATTTGCTTCACTGCTTTTAATACTTAGCAGTATTGTTGGTCTAAGTCAATTTGATTATTGAGGAGTCTCAGAGCAAGTTGAGTTCTGGATGTCATCCTAAAAAACACTTCATATATAATTAATAACTATTTTGTATAATTACATATTGCTGCTTGTGTTTTTTTTTTTCCATTTAGTTGGGCGTTGTGTTTTACACAAAACCATTTTTGAATTAAGGCTGTGATATTAAGATAGAAATTTGGACTGTTGTTCTGCTTTTCCTGGCACTCAAATTCATGACTAGGTTTGAGATCAAACCTATGTTTGTAATTAGAGATTTTATAAGGATCAACTAAGAAATGGAAGGCAGGTGAAGATATAAAACCCTAGAATGCTTAAATGTGCTGTAAAACTATTGTAGATGTCACTGGATTTTACCAAGTAATATCCTTTCTTCTTTTTTTTTTCCCCCATCTACTGTGGCTTTTCAGTTAAAATTTTGTTTATAAAAGGAATTTGTTTATTACAGCTCTACCTAGAGCTTGTGTGTATGTGTGGTTTTTTAAATTCCGTATCCAGGTACGTTTATGTATTAAGATGATGGAACTTGAACTTTAAAGGTAGTAACTAAATGTCTTTTCTTAAAAAAAAAATGGTTATTGTTTCTTAAAATGAAAATAGAGTTCTAAAAGCATTTTTGTTCCACCTTTATTTATGTTAATCTGTAACAGAAATGTAAAATGATCAGTCTTACATGTAGAAGTCATGCTGTGTGTAAGCAATATAATGACAAATTATAAAAAATTTTGAAGTAGTATAAAACATATATCCTCTGTAGTCTGTCACCTTGTAAGAGCCCACAAATTTCATTATTTCTACCAAGAAACTAAAATGAACTCTGATTAAGATATCCCTGTGAAATCAAGATATTTAATATTTAACTAGTTTGAATATAATAAGGGATATTGTTGAAGACTATATATGAGCTAATACTTTTTCCTGAAACTGCAGTGGGACTAATTGGCATATCCAAAAATTTGCCTTTCTTTTAAAGAAATTATATTTAGTCTCTCCATGAGACTCAGCAAATAAGAATGTTCAAGGATGTTATATTATAAAAACATTGCTCTAAACTTTGCTTTTTGTTAATATGTAGGAGAAAAATGGCAATGGTAATGTCAGGCTGTCCTTTTGTGAGAGTTTAATACTTTCTAAAGCCCACATGATTATTTTATACAGAAAGGGGGAGGTGCTAAATAATTTATGAACTTTATAGATATAAATGAAAACAGTAGATGATACAGGAAGGGAAAATACACTTAAAACATTTATTTTTACTTAAAATGTAGGTATTGCAATGGGAATGATCTCTAAAAAATGTAATGCAAATTTCTAATTTATCTGTGCAGCTTGAATCATTTAAAATAGATAACTTATTATACATTAAAATTTATCTAGGTTTTCTGTAAATTTTTGTTAAAACCTTTTGCTTTTCACCTGTTATTTCCTTTTTTTTCCTTTTTTTTTTTTTTTGGAAACAGAGTCTCGCTCTGTCACCCAGGCTGGAGTGCAGTGGCGTGATCTCGGCTCATTGCAACCTCCGCCTCCCATGTTCAAGCGATTCTCCTGCCTCGGCCTCCCGAGTAGCTGGGACTACGGGCGCCTGCCACCATGGTCAGCTAATTTTTCGTATTTTTAGTAGAGACGAGGTTTTACCATGTTAGCCAGGGTGGTCTCGATCTCCTGACCTTGTGATCCGCCCGCCTCGGCCTCTCAAAGTGTGGGGATTACAGGCGTGAACCACCACACCCAGCCTCATCTGTTATTTCTAAGCCATGTGCATTGAATCCAAATTTCACCTTGCAGAATTTATAATTGTTTATTAATAAGAATGTATAGTAACTAAGTATATAAAAGTAGACACTTCTGAAATGAAAAGGGGGCACTACCGATAGTTATATAGGGCCAACAGCGCAACAGTGGTCTCAGGAAATCAGAATATATGATCACTCTTGCATGATTAAAATTAGATGAAAGCAGATAGCATAATTCAAAATAAACTGGAGAAGTATACATTCCTGAAATCTATAAACTTGAACTAAAATGAATTATTTGTGAGGAAAGGTCTCCTTCTGCCTTGATCAGAAGATAAGATAGTGTATCAAATGTCTTAGCTAAAACTTTTCTCTTGCTTTATTCTTTTGAGTAGTTTAGTCTTTAGGAGTCATTGGGAAACGCATGGCAAATCTTTAGTTGATTATGTAATCTTGGAGAATTTGAATGTGCAAGAGTTGTGACATTGACTTGGTATCTAAGGGAGTATCTTGAACATTGTTATATTAGGAAAATATGAGAATGTTTTATAAAATAGTTATCAGTACTTTGTTATTGAATAGAATGCCTTTCTGAGAAAAATTTCTGGGTTTATTTTTTCACTTTAAAAAATGACTTTAAAAATAAGGGATTTTTTAAATTTAAAAAAACTGGAGTTGGTTCTCATTACCCTTAAAAAATACTTTCTTTTGTATACACTTGTTAAATATCCCACTGACATATTATAAGTTCTTTATGTAAACGGTTTTGAATTTAAATACCTGTCTGTGATCAAGACTATCTGGATAGTAGTTTATAGTATTTCAGACTGGAAATGTTTCCAAGTTTGTTAGGAGGAGTAGCCTCTACTGTTGAAAGTAGTTGGGGCAGGGCATGCAGTATGTAGCTTTTGTAGTTTGTGCAGTATACAGCAGCATAATATACTGGGGTGATGTTCATTCACATCATAGATTTGTATGTTATCACAGTTTTTTTTTTAGCAGGTGTTGGTAAAGTTTCTTGTTCTAACAAAATCAGTATATTATGTCACATTTCTGACTTAAGAACCTTAAGGAAGGAGCCTTTTTGTTTGTTTGTTTCTTGCACAATGTGCAAGTTTGGCTAGAGGGGAGATTCTGTCTTTGTGCAAATTGTTAGAGTTCCATCCTAGGAATCCTAATAATAATGTAATAATATTTAAATGGCATTAGAAGCATTTTATATATTATAGGTACTCCAAAAAATCATCTTACTTGGAAAATCTAATAAGAGTTTTGGGTGCTTTATCAGTGACCATCATCATTTAGATGTTCTGTGTTATCTAATTTGCTTTTTATAATTACTGATGTTGTTTCTTTTCTTTTTTTTTTTTTTTTTTTTGAGACAGAGTCTCGCTCTGTTGCCCAGGCTGGAGTGCAGTGGCGCAGTCTTGGCTCACTGCAAGCTCCACATCCCGGGGTCACACCATTCTCCTGCTTCAGTCTCCCGAGCAGCTGGGACTACAGGCGCCTGCCACCACGCCTGACTAATTTTTTTGCATTTTTAGTAGAGATGGGGTTTCACCATGTTAGCCAGGATGGTCTCAATCTCCTGACCTTGTGATCTGCCTGCCTCGGCCTCCCAAAGTGCTGGGATTACAGGCGTGAGCCACTGCGCCCAGCCTGTGTTGTTTCTTAAAATGAAAATAGATAAAGTTTTTAAAGCATTATAGAGAATTTAACCTTCCACTGGTCTGATTAAACAGTATACAAGTAGCATCTGCATCAGCCATCTATGCCATTTTCTTTTTATGATTTCGAAGAAATTATTCAAGAAATCTGCCAATTTAGCTAGTACTTAAAACCTGATGTCCACTACTAAAAATGTTTTATGGGTGGATCAAATAATTTATTTTAATACTAGTCTTGAATAGAAAAATATACTAATACACACTTTTTTTACATTTGCTGTTTGTCTCTTCTTCCACCTCAAAACTCATTTTTAACATAGTTCAGAAAGTTACCTTATAATTGCTAAATAAGAACATGATATATTTAACAGTTTGGATTTTTCTCCAGGTAAAGATTAGGTTTCCACTGATGTTTAACAGGGCTTGTACTGTGCTTAGAATACTTAGCTATTCTGAATTATGATTCAAGGCTAAAAGGTATAAACAGCCTTCACATAATATACTTTGAACCTGAATTATATTGTTGATTATTTCGACTCTATAAAAATTGCCATTTTAGTAAGTCATTCTGTATTGTTATTCAATGGAAATAATGTATTTGTAAACGTTCTGCCATAGAGTCTTTGAAAAGATTTCCAATGCTGTGTGTAACTGAAGCTGGACCTGAAATCAGTCTTTGCAGTGTCATGAAACCATAAAAATGTGGAACTGAGAGAAATGACTTTTTACTACTATGAAATTCTTCTGGAAAACTTGAAACAGCAAATGGCATGCAGAAGGTATACAGAAATAAGTGCACAAAAACATGCAGCATAGTATTTGATATGGTCAATGGTGTCCTTCAATATAGTTATGTTGTTTACATATTACTATTTTGAAAACCTTAAATTTCAGGATTTTGTTGTTGTTGTTATATCCTACAATGAAGACTGTGCTCTATAATGGAGAAATGAATTCTTAGAAGTAATTCTCCCATGCTCTGAGCCTTCTAGTCCTAATAGTATTTTTATCATGATCTCCATGTTATGTAAAGAAAATGTTTTTGTTTTCTTTTGTAAACTTTCATAAGAAAGTTTGCTCTGACTTAGCTGTTTAGGATGTCATGGTAACTAAAGGTGGAAATTGAGTGCAGGTTTCCTAGAAAAATAAGGTGTAATATTGGCTAATAAAGAAAACTATGTAAGTTTGTGTTTTAAAATGTTTCACAAGAACAAAAGCTACGAGGATAAAGGAGCTTTTGGATAAAGGATAATGATAACTATTGAATTGACTGAAGAAAACTTAAGGAAGACAACAAATTCTAGTCCTTTACACAATGTGATTAAATGTCATCTTTCCTGGTATCATTCTTTAATATGTATTTTTAAAAACCACTATGGCTACCTGGAGAAGAATAGATTGAAGGATATCACAACTAGAGACCAAGAGGCCAGATGAGAGACTGTTAGAGTCATCCAGATGATGGATGACAGTGGCTTTGATTGGAATTTTAGTAATAGGGGTGGAAAGAATGACCCTTAAGGGACCCTTAGCAAGACATATTAGTAAGAAGTAATGATTGAGTGGGTAAAATGGGTAAGGATCAAAGAATATTCCCAGGTTTGTGGCTTAAGCATCTGAGTGTATTTACTAAACTAAGGAACCTTGTCAGAGGACCAGATTCTTTTGGTTTGTTTAGAGGTAGGAAGAGAATGTGTTTTAGAGCCCGTGGAAAATCAAGTGGAGATACCAGGTAAGCAATTGGATACATACATGTTAGGAAGTTAGGCCTGGAAACAGATGATCCAGCATATAGATGGTAATTGAAACAAGGATTCCCTAGGGAGATTGTGTACGATGGGAAAAAGACGGAATCCCTGATGAACTCCAAAAATCAAGAAGTAGCTGTAGTAGAGGTGAGAAATTTTATTTCCTTAAAGAATTGGGGTGGAGAATGTTAAGGGCAGTATAGGACTGCTTATACTCTTTATTTAGATTTAATTCCCTTAAATCTTCTCTTTAGAAATAACATGTAAAGATTGAGCTTATTTTTCTGCATTAAAAAAAAATTTTATCGCTCTTTTCCAGACTTTTAATTATTTAATTAACCTGTTTATGCTGGTTTTTCCCTCTTCATTTTGCTCTTTAACTTTTCCTTTACTTTGTGGTTAACCTTGTGGAATAGATTAGGTTTGAGATAACTACTAGGTCTAGTTTTTAACTCATCTATGACCCAGAGTGGCTTACCTGATCCAGTTAAAGAATTAGATTTTTTTTCATAGTCTTAGCTTTGTTAGCAAAATTTAGGCCTAGGAAGAGAATGCCTGTATTTTGGAAGGGCCTAGTTCTAAAATAGACAGACAAAATATTCTGACTTGAAAAGAATACTGTTATAAAAATAAATTACATTTAAATGATTAGATTATTGGCTCTGTAATGCTTTAGTAGATTGAAGTGATTAGACTGTTAAACTTTTTTTTACTGGAATTTCTTAAAGACTGGGTAATCATTTATTCAAATTACAAGTGCATATGTCTGAGAACATATATGCAGCCAGATGCTCTACCCCTGAGTTATACCCCCTGAGAACATATATTATAAATATTATCTTCCAAATCAGGCATTGTAAATGTCCAGATCTTTTTAAAAAATATTTTATTTGATTGAATAATTTCCTTGTTGAGATTAGAGATAAGAATCTAAATGTTTGGATTTTTTTAGTTTAGATTGTATCACTAACTTTGAAAATTAGTTGGAAACTCCAGTTTTAATGAAATTTATTTTCTAGAGCAAGAAGGTGGTGGATTTTAATGCTCAGTGTTTTAGACTCTAAATGATCATATTTCTTATGGCAGAAGTGCACACAGTGTTTGGGATTCATTTTTCAGTTTCTGAAATGTAAAGATGTACCATGTGTATACACGTGTGTACATACATACGAATATATGAAAGAAGAGAAAAGGGATAAAATCACGAAGGTGAAAATACAAACAAAAGTGAACTTTATTTGTCTCAACTCAGGCAGGTGACCAGTTTGTCAAGAAGTTCTTCTCTGGTTTTCCCTGATTTGGGATCATTATATTTTGCTGAATTTTATTTATTATATATTCGATGTCTTTTAACTAGCACTGTTCATTAGTGCAAAATTAAATGTTTATCCTATATCTTCTGTTGTCAAACACACACTATGGACAGATAGAACATTTTTGCCCTTAGATCACAAACTAATGGAATTCACACCTATTTTGAGTAACCTACTTTTTTAAAAGTAAGAATATCTGATTTAACTCAGAATTCGATTTTTCTAACCTCCAAAGCACCTCCCGTGACTGCGGAATAAAGTCCATCTTGGGGCAAGTGAGAACATTGATTGCCTTTATAGAGACTAAAATGTTAACAGTGAAGATTCATGGATGAACCTAGATTTGAGGTAATCACTGTTTTCTAATAAAATATTTGGAGATGACTTTTCTTTTTTCTGTGATCACCAACTTAGAGGCAAGTCATAAATTTACAGATTTTGGCCTTTGATGTGCACTTCAAAAAAATACTGTACATCCAGTAATTCTGGGTAACCCTTAATTTATTTGGATTGCAGGTGAGAACCGTAAAAGCAAACTTTTTCAAATTTTATGTTTTTGTACAATAATTTATCCAGTTAATTTTCTCAGGGCATGATCATTGTTACCATATTCATTGGGTGTTAGCATAGATGATATATCTAAGAATTAAGCATTACTGTTTTTCAGTTTATATGAGTATACCCATACATATGTATATTTGTTTCATTTACCACTCTTCATGGAAATTACATTTGTAGGACATTTGAATATTATTTACTACATACCCACTTAAAAAAATACTGTACTGTAAACCGTTCTTCCAAGGGAAGCCTTAAAACAATTTGAATTCAACAAGAGTTTGCTTGTGCCTGTGTGCCTTGGCAGTTATTTTATAGCTTTTCTCTATTATATACTATTGTTTGTCCAAGAGCAAATTTTTAAAAACAATTTGTATTACTAGCATTCCATTTGGGCTGCAAGTTAAATTGAGTGTTGTTAAGGACCTAGGTTTCTTTTAAACCTTTAAAAACTTGTCATGACAATGTTGGTAATCATTTTTTACACTTCTTTAGTTTTAGTTATGCTTAGTTTGTTTATTTAAGGATCAGTTGTGTATTATTTTAGACAAATAAGCTAATTTCATGTTTCCTTTCCTGATTCTTTGGTTTCTATGTAAATCTAACTTCATTTTCAGGGAATATCCAGGGAAAGTGAATGACTTATACATTGATGCAGTGTCATATCAGCATTGAAATTACAACCTTAGTCTTTCACTACTTAATCAGTATTCTTTCTACTCCACTGTATTGCCTCACCATCTAAACCATGACATCTGCACTGGCCTGATTGAAATAGGGTAGCCAGGTGAAAGCTGATAAAGTGGGGCCTTGACTAAAATAGGCTAACCAGGTGAAAGCCATATCAGACACAACTTTTCTCCCATTAATCTTTAACTTGAAAAAGCATATATTGTAATAGCCATAAATTTGATTAGTTTCACATTTCTTTCCTCCTCATCCTTTTAAACCAAATGCAAGAGTAAAGCCACAAACAAAGTGCAAGACTTAAGTGTATAATCTATAATTTGCATACTTAATTGCTGTTATTTTTGTTTGGGATCTTTCATGTTGTTTATAGGGAGAATATCAAATACAATTTTTGTCTTGGACAGTGACTTTACAGTTGTAGGTTCAAAAAAATCACATAGACTGCCCCCTTTCTCTCAGTAAGATAAGACATTATCCCATTTTAAAGTAACCAAATCAAAAGGTTTTTAAGCCAACTGTCTGATAAGTAGTATAAGGATACTGGGGACCACCTGTCCTAGTATAGTATTCTTTTGATTCTATCACATTGACTGTGATTTTGTGAATTGGTGATGATGCTTTAGCCACGGTCACATTCTCTTTTCTAAAAATTCAGCTTTGGGAGAGATTGGAGCTGTGCGTGCAGCAGTAATTAAGAAAGAGGGCCTCCTGGCTAGCCAATCTGATTGGCTTAGATGAATCCAGGGGGAAGAAAGGAATGACAGGTATTGCAGCCAGATTGCATTTCTTCCAAGACCAAGGAAGCCAGGTGGCCTGCAATATATAAATGCAAATTAAAGTTATCAGAGTTGTCTTTTGTAGTATGGTTGATATATGAGTCTACATTCAAGTTCATTTTTTTTCTATCTGAAGACTTTCCTAGGAAAGTCTAAGATATATTTTTTCTTTATCTTTTTTTTTTTTAAAGGTGTCTTGCTCTGTCACCCAGGCTGGAGTGCAGTGGCATGATCATAGCTCACTGCAGCCTCCAACTCCTGGGCTCAAGTGACCCTTCCACCTCTGCCTCCTGAGTAACAGGGTGACTACAAGCACACACTACCACAACCAGCTAATTTTATTATTATTGTTATTATTTTGTTGAGTCAAGGTCTTGCTGTGTTGCTCAGGCTGTTCTCAAATTCCTGGGCTCAAGCGATCCTCCCACCTCAGTGTTCCAAATTTCAGGCATGAGCCACAGTGCCCAACTGATATTTTTTATATCTCGTTTCTTAGGAAGAATCAGCATGTATATCATTCAGCAAATATCTGAGCACTCACCAACATGCCGAGCACTGATTTAGGTGCAGGATATGTTAGCAAACATAACAGACCATAGTTACATTCTAGTAAGGCAAGCAAAAGATAAATATACTAAGTAAATTTTATGATTTATTAAAGGTTGATAAATACTATTTATAAAAAAGCAATGGACTTCTGGTTTCTGATGCAACATGTAAGGAGCTTGGAAGTTGTAACTCTGTCCTAACAAATAGAAAGCTAAACAAACTGAAAATCAACAACTTTTCTTAGATCCATCAGAGAATGGAGGTCACAGAGCAAACTGAAGCCCCCCAAATTGGAGAAAGACACATGAATGCAGAGAATCAACAACTTACTGGATCAAAAACCCACAAGCAGAAACCTTTGTGGGAACCAAGGGCAGAGTAGGAAAAACCTAAGCTATAATTGACAAACTGCTGGAAGCTCAATGTGGACAAGTCTGAGAGTTAACTTGTGGGGAAGGTGATGGATATGTTAATATGATTGTAGTAATTATCCCACAATATATGTATATTAAATCATGTTTGAATATATTAGGTCTTGACAAATACTTTTAAAAACAAAATCTTGGAGGGGTATCAAAAATGGATCCCCTCCCTTTTCTGAGTTTTACCTCTAGGAGCCCTACCCGGTTCTCATAGTGAAGATTGAGAAGAAAAAAACCAAAATCTCATGTTTCCAGCATGGGGAGAGAAAAAGGAACCATTTTGAAATACACCAGAGCATTCTGTATTTCTTAAAAAAGCCTGGCCTCAAGAGAAATTATTTTATCAGAGCCTAACCTCCTGCCTACCCAATTCAGGGAAAGGGAAATACCCAACTTTAGTCACCTCTAGCTTTCCATGTGGGAGAAGGGAAATCTCCAATTCTATACTACTTATCTGACTTAATTGGGAGTGGGGGAAGGGAGGCTAAGAACATTTGTTTAGATCACAGCACAGAGGCACAAGCTCACTAAAAGACTTGAGACCTAATCCTAGGACTGTAGAATGCTTCCCCTCCCGACCACAACTTAGCACTACACCACTAAAGGCCTATTTACCTCAGTTCCTTTTAACCAGCACATTGTGGTTAGCTTTCAACAAAAAAATTACAAGGCATACTAAAAAGATAAAAACACCATTTGAAGAGACAGCAACCATCAGAAGCAGACTCAGATATGACAGATGCTGGAATTATCAGACCAGGAATTTTAAATAAATACGATTAATATGCTAAGGGCTCTAATGGAATAAGTAGACAGAATGTAGGAATGGGTGAGTAATATAGCAGAGAAATTCTACAAAAGATTTACAAATGCTAGAAATAAAAAACACTAACAATAAAGAATGATTGGCTAGTACACTGGACACAGCTGGGGAAGGAAGCTTGAAGATAATGTGTCAGTAGAAACTTCCCAAATAAAAAGCAAAGAGGAGAAAAAGCAAAACTAACTGGAACTAAATATCCAAAAACTGTGGGACAACTACAAAAGATGTAATATACATTTAATGTGAAGACCAGAAGAATAAAGAGAAAGAAACAGAAGTACTTCAGGAGTAATGACTAAGAATTCACAAGATTAATGTCAACCTGCAAGACTGTTTAAACACCGAACAGTTAATGTAATCCATCACCTTAACAGGCAAAGAAGAAAAATCATGTATCAATAGATGCAGAAAAAACATTTGACAAAATCTAGCACTCCTTCATTACAACTCTCAGCAAACTAGGAACAGAGTAGAACTTACTCAACTTGATAAAGAACATCTACCTGAAACCTACAGCTAACATTATGTTTACTGGTAAAAACAAAAAAAACAAAAAAAACTTGAAGCTTTCCCACGAAGACCAAGAACAAGGGAAGGATGTTCTCCCTCACAGTTTCTTTTCATTATCTTACTGGAAGTGATAGCTAATGCAGCAAGACAAGGAAAAGAAGTGAGAGTCATACAGACTGGGAAGGAAGAAATAAAACTCTTTGTCTACAGATGATATGATTGTCTATGGAAAACCCAAAGGAATTGACAAAAACAACTGATGATAGCAAGTGATTATAGCAAGGTTGCATAATACAAGGTTTATATACAAAAGCAAATTGCTTTCCCATACAGAGAAACGAATAATTGGAATTTGAAATTAAAGACATAATACCATTTATATTAGTACCTCTCTCCCAAAATGGAATACTTTGGTATCAATTAAACAAAATATAAAATACACATGAGGAAAAATACAGATCTCTAATGATAAGACTAAATGAAGAGAGAGTCCATGTTCATGAACTGGAAGACTTGATATTGTCAAGAAGCCCATTCTTTACAACTTGATTTATAAATTCAACATAACATAATCTCAATTAAAATCCCAGGAAGTTGTTTTGTGGATATTGACAAACTGATTCTGAAAACTATATGGAGAGGCAAAAGATTCAGAATAGCCAGTGAAATATTTAAAGAGAAGAAAGAGTCAAGAGGACTGACACCACCCAATTTCAAGACTTACAATAAAGCTATTGTAATTAATACTGTGGTATTACAAATGGATCAGAGTAACACTATAGAGTCCCCAAAAAGAGACCCACACACATATTGTCAACATTTTTGACAAGGAAGCAAAGGCAATTCAGTGGAGTAAGGATAGTTCTTTTCAACCTAACAGTGCTGGAACAACTGGGCATCCATATGCAAATATAAGCAAATCTAGGCCTTAAACTTTTCACAGAAATTAACTCAAAATTGGCCATACCTAAATGTAACATAGAAAATTATAAAACTCCTAGAAGGAAACCCTAGGAGAAAGTCTAGATGCCTTTAGGTCTAGCAGTGACTTTTTAGATACAATACCAAACCCACAATTCATGAAAGACATCATTGGATTTTATTAAAATTTTTTGTTCTTCAGAAGACACTATCAAGAGAATGAGAACAACAGACTGGGAGAAAGTGTTTGCTGAAGACATACCTGATAAAGGACTCACCCAAAATAGACAAAGAGCTCTTAAAACTCAGCATAAGAAATGGAACAACCCAATTAAAAAATGAGCAAAAGATCTAAACAGACACCTCACCAAGAAGATATACATATGGTAAGTAACCTCATGAAAAGATGGTCAGCAGCATCTATCATTAGGGAATTGCACATTACAACAATGAGATATCACTGCACAACCATTAGAATAGCTAAAATCCAAAGCACCAACAGCACCAATGCTGGTGAGAATGTGGAATAACTGGAAATACCATTTATTTCCGGTGAAAATGCAAAAAGGTACAGTCACTTTGGAAGACAATTTGGCAGTATCTTACAAAACAAAACATACTCTTACCATATGATCATGCTTTTTAGTATTTACTCAAATATATTAAAACATCTGCTCAGAACCCTGCAATTAAATGTATACAGCAGCTTTACTCATAATTGGCTAACTTGCAGGCAATCAAGATGTCTTTCAATAAGTGAGTGGATAAACTGTGGTACATTCATACAATGGGATATTACTCTATTCTATAGGAGGAGGAGTGGCAAATACTGTAGGTATCACAACCAGACCCCTTGTATGCCTTTACCATTTTGATGCACTCTTGACTGCCTCTCAGGGTCACATAGAGAGCCTGAGGTGTCTGGGAAATCCCTAAATAAATAAGTTATCAAGCCATAAAAAGACATGGAGAACTGAAATCCTTATTAGTAAGTGAAGAAGCCAATCTGAAAGGACTTTATACTGTATGATTCTAACTAAATTCTGGAAAAGGCATATGTTTAGTGACAATAAAAAGATCAGTGGTTGATAAGAGTTTGGAGGAAGGCAGGAACGAATATGTAGAGCACAGTGGATTTTTCAGGTGGTGAAAGAACTCGGTATGATATTATGGGAGATACATGTCATTACACATTTGGCAAAACCTGTAGAATGTACACCACCAAAAGTGAACACTATGTGAACTATGGTCTTTGGGTCTTCATATGTATCAGTCGTCAGCAGCTGTAACAAATGTACCACACAGGACATTGGTTGGGAAGGCTGTGGGTGTATATGGAATAGGTATATATGGGAGCGCTGTACTTTGCTTAATTTTGCTCTGAACGTAAAATTGCTCTTAAAACTTGTATTTGAAAAAATATGATGTTGCTATTTCAGATAGGGTGGTATGGGTAAGTCTGGCTAAGAAAGTGCCATTTGAGTCTTATAAGAGATGAAGTTTAGCTGTATCTGAGTGAAGGGCATTTTGGGTAAAACAGCTGATGTTTAAGGAAAAATGAGGCCTGTGTGGAGTGAGGAAAAACAAGTTGATTAAGAGTAGATCATAAAGTCAGAGAGATGGGGAAGAGAAAAGCAGATCACGAGGCTTTGTGTGTCATGCTAAGGATTTTAGTTTTTATCCTGAATGAAGTGAATAAATGTAGCTCTGCCACTAATTCTGTGACCTTAGGCAAGTTATTTTTACCTCTCTGCTCCAAATTTACTCATATCTAAAATGGGTATAATAAGAATACCAAACGATTAGTGTTAGTAATATGAGCATTAAAAGGAGTTTTGTTTATATATATATAAACTATATATATAAGTATTTGCATCATTATTTTGAACAGGGGAATGACATTATTTGATTAGGTATTTAAAATGCTCCTGTTTGCTGTGTTGAACATATACAGAGGTAGTGATGAGGAGTAGAGGTTATTAGTGGCACAAGGGTGAAAGCAGGTAGACCAATTAGAAGGCAAGGTCAATAATCAAACAATAGCTTGGATAAGAGTGATTGCAGTAGAAATGGTGAGAAGTAGATTCTAGATATACCCTTAAATTCGTATTTCCTGAAAGATTGTATGGCAAGTGTGAGAAAAGGGGAGCGAAGGATGATTCTAAGGTTTTTAGCTTGAGTTCCTACAATTACAAGAATCCCACCAACTGTAAAAAAAAGTAGTTGCACGTATCTATGGGATGCATGCAGTTTTATAAGGATACAATGTGTAATGATCACATCTGGGCAATTGAGGTGATGTCCATCACCTCAAACATTTATAGTTTCTTTGTGTTGGGAACATTCCAAATCTAGCTATTTTGAAATATACAATAAATTGTTAACTATGATTGCCCTATTGTGCTACCAAACACTGTATCTTATTTTTTCTATCTAACCATATTTTTGTACCTATTAACCAACCCCTCTTTAACCCCCACTCTCACTGCCCTACCAAGCCTCTGGTAACCACCATTCTACTCACTGCCTTCATGAGATCAATTTTTTTTAGATGCCACTTATAAGTGAGAAGATGTGTTTGTTTTTCGTGCCTGGCTTATTTCATAGTGTCCTCCAGTTCTATCCATGTTGCTTCAAATGACAGGATAACCTTCTGTTTCATGGCTGAATAATACTCAGTTGTGTATATATACCACATTTTCTTTATCCATTCATCAGTTGATGGACACTTAGGTTGATCCCACATCTTGGCTATTGTGATTACTGCTATAATAAACATGGAAGTATGGCTATTTCTTTAATATGCTGATTTCCTTTCTTTTGGATATATACCCAGCAAAGAAGTTATTGAACCATATGGTAGTTCACTGTTTAGTGTTTTGAGAAACCTCCATATTGTTTTCCATAGTGGCTCTACTAATTTACATTCCCACCAACAGTGTATGAGGATTCTCATTTCTCCACATCCTCAGCAGCATTTATTATTTTCTGTCTTTTTGATAATAGCTGTTTTAATTGTGGTGAAATGATATCTCATTGTGGTTTTGATTTTTATTTCTCTGGTGACTAGTGATGTTGAGCATTTTTTCATATATCTGTTGGCCATTTGTATGTCTTCTTTTGAGAAATGTCTATGAAGATCTTTTGCCCATTTTTAAGTTGGAGTATTAGTATTTGCTATTGAGTTGAGTTCCTTATATATCCTGGTTATTAATACTTTGTTGGATTAATAGTTTGCAAATATTTTCTCTCATTCTCTAGGTTATCTCTTCACTTTGTTGATTGTTTCCATGGCTGTGCAGAAGCTTTTTAGCTTGAGGTAATCCCATTTGTCAGTTTTTGCTTTCGTTGCCTGTGCTTTTGAGGCCTTATGAAATCTTTGCCCAGATCAATGGCCTGAAGTGTTTTCTTCTAGTAGCTGCAGGTCATATATTTATGTCTTTAATCCATGTTGAGTTGATTTTTGTATGCAGTGAGAGAGATGCCTATTTTCATTCTGCACATGGATATCGTTTCCCCATCATGATTTATTGACGAGACTATCCTTTCCTCAATATATGTTGGTGCCTTTGTCAAAAATCAGTTGACTGTAAATGTATGGATTTATTTCTGAGTTCTCTATGCTGTTCCATTGGTCTATGTTTCTTTTTATGCCACTACCATGCTGTTTTGGTACTATATTTTGAGGTCAGATATTGTGTCTCTAGGTTTGTCCTTTTTGCTCAGGGTTGCTTTGGCTATTCTGTTTGTTTTTTGTGATTCCATAAAAATTTTAGGAATTTTTTCCTATTTCTGTGAAAAATGTCATTGGTATTTTAATAGTGATTGCATTGAATGTGTAGATCACTTTGAGTAGTATGGACATTTTAACAATATTAATTCTTCCAAACAATGAACACAGAATGTATTTCCTTTTGGTATGTGTGTGTCCTTTTCAATTTCTTTCAGTAGTGTTTTATAGTTTTCATTGTAGAGATCTTTCATTTCTTTGGTTAAATTTGTTTCTAGGTGTGGCTTTTTTATAATTATTAGAAATGGCATTGCTCTCTTGATTTCCTTTTCAGTTTGTTTGCTCTTGGCATACAGAAATGCTACTGAATTTTTTTTTTTCAAGTGCACAACTAACATCATAGCTCCTGATTTTTGTATGTTGATTCTGTATCTTGTAACTACTAGTTTATCAGTTCTAGTAATGTTTTGGAAGATGAAACTTCCAAAGATGAAAACATCTAGTAATGTTTTCATTTTTTCTAAATGTAAGATCAAGTCATCTGCAAACACAGACAATTTGACATCTTCCTTTCCAATTTGGATGCCCTTTATTTCTTTGTCTTCCCGTAGGAATGGACTCTGGATGGGACTTCCGGTACTATGTTAAATAGAAGTGTTGAACATGGGCATCCTCATTGTGTTCCAGATTTTAGAGGGAAGGTTTTCAATTTTTCACCATTCAATACGATGCTAGCTGTGGGTGTGTCATATATGGCCTTTATTATGTTCCTTCTATACCCAGTTTGTTGAGAGTTTTTATGATGAAGGGGATGTTGGGTTTTATCAAATGCCTTTCCAGCATCTATTGAAATGATTGTATTTTTTTTGTCCTTGTTTCTATTAATGTGATGTCACACTTATTGATTTGCATATGTTAAACCATCCTTTTATCCCTAAGATGAATTCCACTTGATCATCATGATCTTTTTTATGTGTTGTTAGATTCAATTTACTAGGTTTTTGTTGAGGATTTTTGCATTTATGTTCATCAGAGAGATTGGCCTGTACTCTTCTTTTAAAAATTATTATTGTATGATTTTGGTATCAGCGTAATGCTAGCTTTGTAGAATGAGTTTGGAAGTATTCCCTCCTCAGTTTTTGGAAACAGTTTGAGGAGAATTAGTTCTTTTAATATTTGCTAGAATTCAGCATGAAGTCATCGGGTCCTGGGGGTTTTTCTTTGATGTTAGACTTTATTACTTCTTCTTTCTTGTTACTCATTATTGATCTGTTCAGGTTTTCTATTTCTCATATTTCAATCCTAGTAGATTGTATGTGTTTAGAACTTTATTCACTTATTCTAGGTTTTCAAATTTATTGGCCTACATTGCTCTCATAATAGTCCCTAACAATCCTTTGAATTTCTGTGGTATCATTTTGATGTCTCCTATTTTGTCTGTAACTTTATTTATTTATTTATTTATTCTTAGGTAGCCTAGCTAAAGATTTGCTTATATTGTCTTTTCAAAAAACCAACTTCTTGTTTTGTTGGTATTTGTATATTTGTAGCCTCAATTTTATTCTGCCCTCATCTTTATTTTTTCCTTCTTTTAATCTTGAGTTTGGCTGGTTCTTGCTCTTCTAATTTTTTAAGGTGAATCACTAGTTTGTTTATTTGACATCTTGCCACTTTTTGGTGTTATTTATTGCTAGAAACTTCGCTCATAGTACTACTTTTGCTAGGTCCTATAAATTTTGATATGTTGTGTTTTCATTTGTCTCGATACATTTTAAAATTTCCTTTGTTTCTTCATTGATCCATTGGTCATTCAGGAGCATGTTTAACATATGTATTTGTTTGGTTTCCATAGTTCCTCTTGTTATTGATTTCTAGTTTTATTCCATTGTGGTCAGAAAAGATACCTGATGTAATTCTGATTTTATTAAATTTGTTAAAGACTTATTTTGTGAACTAACATATGTCCTATCCTAGAGAATGTTCCATGTGCTGATGAGAAGAATGTGTATTTTGCAGTAGTTGGATGAAATGTTCTGTAAATATCAGGTCTATTTGGTCTAGAGATGAATTTTGATATGTTTTTGTTGATTTTCTGTCTTGTCCATTGCTGAAACTGGGATGTGGAAATCTATTAATATTATTTTATTTCAGTCTCTCTCTTTGGATTTATTGTATTTGCTTTATATATTTGGGTGCTCTGATGTTGGTTGCATACCTATTTATTATTGTTACATCCTCTTATTGAATTGACCCCTTTGTCATCCGGAAAAGTTGCCTTATTCTCCTCGCAGGGCCTGCAGTGGGGATGTGGCTTGCTTCTTCAGTGCCCCACTGCTCATACCCCTAGGGGGAGCATACAGACGGGCTGGTCGTGGGGAGTGCCAACCCCAGGCAGTGTCTAGGGCTGAGTGTTTACAGCTCCCAAAGCCCCAGTGGGCATGTGTTACAGTGTGCTTTTTCAGTTTTGCTGTCCACAAGCGGCTTGTGTTAATCAGCTCAATTAGACCCTCTGCCTTATCGCAGGGACAGAGGGCTTTCTGTATCCCAGATTCTTGCCTTAGTATACCAGAAAAATTGGATCACATGTGGGCTTGGAGAATGAGTGCAAGGTTTTAATGAGTGGAGTAGCTCTCAGCGAGTTGAATGGGGAGGCCCTAAGGGGGATGGAGTGGGAAGGTGATCTTCCCCTGGAGTTGAGCTGCCCAGCGGTAGACTGTCCTGTGATCGCCCTGGCTGAATTCCATATTGTCCCGCATTGATGACCCGTCAGCATTTGCTGGTACCTGTCGGTGTGCTCTTCCACTCTGCCCCTCAAGAGGTTGACATTCAGGAACTTCTGTGTTCTTCCGCCAGTGTGTTCCTCTCTACGTCCAGCCGCTTGTCTCTGTGCCCGCTAGGGTCTTGGGGTCTCAGGGTTTTCATAGGCATAGGATGGGGGCATGGCGGGCCAGGGTGGTCTTGAAAAATGCAACATTTGGTTGCGAAAACTAGAGTGCCTGCCCACCTAGGTCCGCAGGCACAGGCCCGAGGGTAGAGCCCTTGCTGGGTACCCTTCGTGTCCCTACCCAGCACTTCCCTGCCCCCTCCCATATCATTTACATAATGACTTTGTCTTTTTATAATTTTTTACTAGAATTCTATTTTGTCTGATATAAGTATAGCTGCTACTGCTCTGTTTTTGGTTTCCATTTGTGTGAAATATCTTTTTCCCATCCTTTCACTTTCAGTCTACATGTGTCATTGCAGATAAAGTGAGTTTCTGATGGTCCGCATATAGTTGGGTCTTGCTTTTGTTTTTGTTTTTAAATCTATTCAGGCACTCTATGTCTTTTGATTAGAGAATTTAGTCCTTTTACATTTACCGTTATTATTGATAGGTAAGGACTTACTACTGCCATTGTGTTGTTTTCTGGTTGTTTTGTAAGTCCTGTCTTCCTTCTTTGTCCTCCTTTGTGGATAAGTAGTATTCTCTGTATTCTCTGGTAGTATGTTTTAATTCCCTGCTTTTTATGTTTAGTGTATTTATTATAGGTTTTTTCCTTTGTGATTGCCATGAGAATACCACAACTTTGAATTTTCCCCCCATACACTAAAAAGTATATTGTCTTTTTCCTTTTTTAGAGTTTGACATGATGAAATATGAAAGATCATGGAATTAGTCTGAGCTTTATTATTATTATATTAAACTATTAATCTGAGAATTTTATAATTTATAACTAATTATCACTGACATTTATCACTGTCACACCCGGGTACCATGAAGTTACCATCTGATTTGTTCTTGGATGTGAATGTTACCTTTCTTTAAAATTCCTAAGAGGAAAAGACAAAATGTTTCCCAAGATATGAAACCAATGGGAAAGGCGACAAGTAACGTAAAGGCATTTGTCTTCATTAACCAAAATGGAGAATACAGTGTGTGAACTAAACTTCCAAGACTTTTAATCTAGCTAATGCTAGAATTGTAATGTGCAATATCATCAAATGCTTCTTTTTGGGTAGCAGTCTTTAAATCTGGAAGAAAAAACTTCCCTTATTTTTTATATTTTTTCACAATTTCTGAAAAATTTAACTCTTTATTTTGTGAGTTACTGGTTTTTGTTTTTCCTTCTGATCTTAAATGCTCTGTGTGTATGAAGGGTATTACATTGTCAAGTAAGTCACATATATATTTTTCAGTTGTAGGTAGCTTTTTTATGTAAACTATAACAGTAAAAAAATATATAAAAGTACACAAAATACAAATGAAATTTATGATGCATATATAATTGTAGTTTGTTCATTTGCATTGCTATGTAGTATTCCATCATGTGAATATACCACAATTTATATCACCATTCTGCTGCTGATGAATATTATGATTCCTTTTCAGTTTCAGGCTTCTATGACTAATGCTGCTATGAACATTTTTGAATGTGTCTTTTGATAAACATATGTATGTGTCTATGGTATATACCTAAAAATGGAATTACTTATAGAATATACAGATATTCAGATTTACTAGATACTATCTGTATTAGTCTGTTTTCATGCTGCTGATAAAGACATACTCGAGACTGGGAAAAAAAAAAG